TTCTTTGGGTCTGGTGCTTTACGAGCTATAGAATTCCCTCAGGGCCTTTCTCCTCTGTGTCTAGAACGGTTCTAGTACCACATTCCTAACCTGAGAGGCTACCACTAAAGGCCAGCACAGTCATTCATTCATTTAATGTTTCCCAAACACCTCCTCTTTGTAGAGTCTTGTGCCAGGCACTGGGACCATGTGGAATAAGACCCTACCCTCAAGGAGCCTGTGATTTATTAAGTAAAACATGATGAGAGAGCTGGGAAGGCGTGAGGAGCAAGTTGTGTTTGTGCATTCTAGGACTGAGCTTCCAGCCAATTCAAGGAAACCTTCCTCCTTAGCTCCCAGCCCTGAGCTCCCATTGGGTGGAAAAGTGGGCATCCATAGTGTTTCCAGCTTCCTCACTACAGACCGTGACTCGGGCCCACGACTCTAATGGAATCATTGATAACTTCATGGCGACTACAGTCTTGGTAAAATACAAGTCAGACCATGTCATTTCCTTGCTTAATGTCCCAAATCTTTACTGCACCCTTCAAAGTGGATCTTGCCTCTGCCCCCCACTCTGACGGCATCTCTTCTTCCCTTGCTGAGCCTCAGCCCCACTGTCTTCATTCACTTCCCCAGACTCGCCACGTTCTTTTCCCATCTCAGGCCAGTCTCCTCACGGAATCTTCCTTCTGACCCACAGTATCATTTTTCTCATCCTTAGAGTCTCAGCTTAAAGGTCAGAGCCTCGGGCTTTCCCTGACTTTTGTACCTGGAATAGCCCCTTCTTTCGGTCATGACACCCATTTATTGCTTTCACAGCCCCATGACAATGTTCATCACTTTGCTTATGTCCTTTGGTTTTTGCAAGTTTCCCACATCAGAGTGAGGTGGCCACTCTGGGACAGGGTCTTTTTGTGTGTGCTGCCACAGAAACTGGCACAGGAGGCACTCAGTAAGTAAGAGCCACATGAATGCTGCCTCTGAGCTTCTGTACCATGGCAGGACAAGAGCACCCAGCTCCCCAGCCAGCCTGAGTTAGAGCGCTGTTGCCTTCCTTCACATAACATCCTGGCTCTCATCTGTACTGGGCACAGTTGATGGATCACGTGCCACTGAGAACATCGTTAGGAAAGTAAAATTGAACAGTGATGAATTGGGCAAATAACCAATAACTACAGCGGAAATATGGAGCTGTTTCTATGGCAGCATAGTTGCCATTCGACTCATTTAATTGCAAAAAAAAATCATTATATCAAATCTTGTCCCAATTAACATCAAGAAGTGACAGCATAATAATGGGAAAGCTGTTATATTTTGTTCTCAGAGTAGAGGTCTGAGGAGTGGCTCTGGTAAATTATCTCTTGATCCAGATTAATCTCCAGATGGTTGGTGGGGGAGTTAGGATTACAGGAGTAATAATAAATAGTTTCACGGTGTAGCTTAGGAGAAGGTTGAAAAGTAGCACAAGTCATGGGTGGAGCTGGAACATATCCTACTCAGTACATTATCTCAAGAATGGAAGAAAAAATATCCAATGGAAGAAAAAATATTATGAAACCAATTTATAATCACTCACACTTTCATATAAAGAATAGATCACGGCTC